GTGTTTGAACAGGCCTTCGGCTTCCATATCCCATATGATGCAGTGTACGGCTAATTTGCCTACAAACGTCAAGTGGTCATAATAATCTGGCCACTCAGTGTATTTTCCCCAGCCTTTAGGGTGTAGCTGGGGTAAGCTATCCTTTTCCCATGCATTCCTAATTATGCCAGAAAGCCCTGCACCCCTCTTGGGGTGAGATCTCTTAGTATGCCTGGGGACAACTATTTCATATGTTACTATGTCTTCCCCTGGTGAATACTGAAATTAACCGTGACATTTGGGCCACTCAGGGCAGGATAGTGAAAACCATCACTGCTTCCCCAGTTCAGGTAACCTGGCTGATAAAGCTTCATTCAACAAAACCTCACAGATTCTTGGGTGAGTTGACTATCCAAAATATATTGACTGTCATGGCTCCTATCTTTAGATAGGCCCCTAATCATAGCAGTCCTAGCCTTAGTCTTCAGCCCTTGCTTATTAAACCTCCTAAACCGCTTTGTTTCTTCTTGTATTGAGGCTTTCAAGCTAAAGATGGTACTCCAAACGCAACCCCAGATAGAGACAAATGCCATTTTCCATGGACCCCTAGCCTGGCCTCCTCTAATGGGACCCTGACAACTGCTCCCCCACAAAGACCACTGTCATTAGAAAATAGCCAGAGAGGTCATTGCCCCTGCTCCCAACAGCAGTTGGGGTCTCCTAATCAGAGGGGAGACTGGGAGGAGTTAGCTTGACAAGCAGGCAAACAGACCAGTGGTCCAGAGGAAAACAAAGGCAGGTGGAATGTAGGCAGGGACAGACACAGCAATTTGAGCAAGCCTAACCATAGAAACCAACCATACAGAAATAACAATGTTTTCAGACTCAAGAGAGGGAGTTATGTGAAAGTAGGGAGGAACTGCAACAATAAGTTGGGCGCATAGAAACAGAGAAAGTTCAGGTTTATTGCTGGGCAAGAACAATTGAGGTAACCAATCAGCTGGTGACATGGGTAGATATGGAGCAGGCTTGTAGCAAATATATACTCTAAGACTACAAGGCTTCAGTGGAAACCCATTACTGTGCCCAATCCCCGTGCAGTGTCTGAATCAACTTGTACTAAATGTTCACAATTTTGCTTAAATCTTCTGGTCCGAGATTTCATTATTCTGCTTCATGGGACTTGATCCCAAGAAAGGGAAGGGACCTCGGCTCATGGTTTAGGTTATCACTTGTACTCAGGAAATACCACTCCTAGACACTATCATAGCCTCCTTTTGTGCCCAGGCCTCGTCGTCACTCTGACAGAAAGCAAGGATTTTGGCTCTGAAGGAAAACAATCCCCTTTCAGCTAAGACCTTATGCCCCTCTTTCCCTGTAAGAATTCAGTGCCAAAAATCCTTTAAAGGGGAATATAGACCCTGAGACCCCAAAAGCAAGGATGATGGGCCATGTAAGGTATAGAAACTCACTGGGCCAGAAAGCTCCAGATGCCTAGCAAGGGGCAAAACTGGGAAAATAAGAATCTCCCCCCGGGTAACCTATCCTCCTCTCCTTTCATATCACTAGTCAGGCAGCTTACCCCCTGATCATTTCCTCCCTAAAGAAAACAAAGGCCTTAGTTGTATTTCAGCTCCAGAATCAGAAAAACAACAAAACCAGAAAAGTGATGCTGTGGTAGCCTCAGAACCAGCTTTTACCTCCCAAGTCACTCAACAGGACTACTTTCGAGCCTTCACCAACCAATCTCTTGGGGAAATCATGCTGCTGTAACCCCTTGATCCAAACATAAGAAATCTATACTGTTCCAGCAACTTCACAACCAACATTCCCTTTTGCTTAGACCATATTCCACTTCCTAAGACTACATTCCACTTGCTAAGACCATTATCTTTATACTCAGGACTCCCCCAGAGAATTACCCGCCCAAAAAAAGACCACCTAGAGTCCTTTAAAATTTCTGACTCCCTATACCTGCTGGTACCATTTTGGGGCTCAGCCCATCTGGTTTTCCAGGTTACCTAATAAATTTATAATGCCTTACCACTTTGGCCTCGTGCATTTCTACTTCGGCAAACCTATCAACTAGAACTTAACTTTAATGTTGAGAGCTATTAATAACTGAATATGGAGAGGAGGGATGTTATTGTTTCCAAACCCATGTCTATAAAAATGTTCTTCTAGAGTTATTTCATCTCATTGCTCCAGTAGAACTTGCTTCAGGCTCACTAGATCTGTGTCTCACAAAAAACCTATCCAATGATGTTTATTTTTGCCTGGTTATTAGCACTTAAGTGAAGTGAAACACTGCATTGCCATTGAACAAGTTTATCACACGGTTTGCTACTTGCCAGGATGATAATTCTCAATAAACCTTTTCATTTCTCCCCACTTCCCAAGCATTTTCCTGGATTAGTAAAGTAGGAATATCTTCCCTACCCTCCTCCCTCTTATGAAAACCGATCCTCAGCTGCTGTTTGTTGTTTCTCCCTCTGAAGGTCTTAGAATTCCTCCATGGTCAGCTCAGTGTTGTACTACTCCAACTCCTCCACATCATCATCATCCACCTTGAAGCCCAAGGACTTCCCAAGATACACAATATCCTCCACAACAGACACAGCCCTCCAAGTCTCTTTCAGCAATAGACTCAAGCCACAATTTCATCCAGGCTGATTGCATAGTACTGGAAGACACTTTCTCCCATGCTTTGTTAATGAGCCTCAAACAAGTGAAAATATTAAAATGTTCATTCCAGAAGTACCTGGAGGTTAAATTCATTTCAGAGGTCACCTCAAAACACCTCTGAAACAGTGCCTTTGTGCAGAGCCCTTTAAATTTAGAAATGAGCTGCTGGTCCATGGGCTGGATGGGAAGAGTTGTGTTAGGTGACAAGAACCCAATAGAGATGAAACTGTACTCCTCCATCAACTCAGCCTCCAAGCCTGGAGGGTGGAAAGGAACCTGGTCCATTATAAGAAGTGCCCTGAGTGGCAAATATTTTTCCCGGGAAGTATTTCTTTAAATTTGGGGCAAACACTTCATGAATCCGCACAATTAAAAATTGGCTGGTTAACCAAGCTTTGCTATTAGCCCTCCACAACACATTCAACTTGTTTTTCAGAATTATTTTCTTGAAAACTGGTGGGTTTTCACAATAGTAGACAAGTAGAAGCTTCAATTTAAAGTCTTCACTCACATTCCCACATAACAATAAGGCCAGCCTGTCATTGGCTTATGTTTTGGCAATAACTTTTCCTCCTATGTGATGTAGGTCTCTGGCATTTTCTACCAGAAGAGGCCTGCCTCATCATAATTGAACACAAAATTATCAGCAACTACTTTCTTTGAACTACAGCCTCCCCATTCCTCACTACACTATAAATGTGACTTTTCATTTCTTAATTTACCAAACCGACCCTACTAGCCTTTAACAAATCACTTTCGGCACCTGTTCCATGGGTGAACTCAGGAGGTCAGTATGCAACATCTTCCCTTTTTCACATATTGTTGTCCCTAATTGCTATCACTGACTGTTTTTCATTTATCTAAATCAGGGGTTGGGAACCTTTTTTTTTTTTTGCAAAGGACAATTTGGATACTTATAACATCGAGTGGGCCATACAAAATAATCAACTTGAAAATTAGCCTCCTGCATTTGGTCAAAAATTTAATTAACTCACCAGTAATGCCTTGGCAGGGCCAGATCAAATGATTTCTTAGGCCTTATATGGTCCTCCTCAGGCCGGACATTCTCCACCCGATCTAAATAAAAAATAATTTTTCTACCTCTTCAATTGAATGTGATCTTTGTTTCCTGAGCACTGTCACACACATAGTAACATCAGCACTCTTGGTAGCCTTTTTGTTTTAAAATTAAGCTAATAGTTGGTTTTCCCATGTCATACTCAATAACCAGATCAGACACAGGGCACCTCTGTCACACTTTGCAATTATTTCTTTTTGAAGCTCTATTGTCATTCTCACAACTTTCCTTTTCACTTTGCTGTTAGCACTACCCTTCTTAGGACCCGTGGTCATTTGGTGTCCATTTTTAATAACTAGAGGCCCAGTGCACGACATTAGTGCACTGGGGTGGGGAGGGGGTCTCAGGCCGGCCTGCACCCTCTCACAGTCTGAGACCCCTCAGGGGATGTCCAACTTCCAGCCCCAAGGGGTCCTTAGTGCCGCCGCGGAGGCAGGGGAGGCTCCTGCCACTGCCACTGTGCTTGCCAGTCTTGAGCTCGGCTTCTGGCTGAGCAGCGCTCCCCCTGTGGGAGCGCACTGACCACGAGGGGGCAGCTTCTGTGCTGAGCGTCTGCCCACTGGTGATAAGTGCGCGTCATAGAAACCAGTCGTTCTGCCGTTCTGTCAATTTGCCTATTAGGGTTTTATCATATAGGATAAGCTGCCACAAAAGTCAAAAAACATGAAAATAGCCCTAACTGGTTTGGCTCAGTGGATAGAGTGTCAGCCTGCAGACTGAAGCATCCCAGGTTCGATTCCGGTCGAGGGCATGTACCTTGGTTGCGGGCACATCCCCAGTAGGGGGTGTGCAGGAGGCAGCTGATTGATGTTTCTCTCTCATCAATATTTCTAACTCTCTATCCTACTCCCTTTCTCTCTCTGTAAAAAATCAATTAAATATATATTTTTTGAAAAACATGAAAATATTCACAGCAATTTCCTGAGATGTTAATAATGTGAGGTTAGTGGTAAACTGACTCACACTCATACATTCCTCCTTTGTCACCAAAGAGACACGTGACTGATCATACAAGTATCAGCACTAAAGGATTGCTGGGTTGAGAACTGAAGTTTTATTCAACAACTAAGACATTTTTTCCATGAACAACTTGTTGGAGAACCAAATTGCTGGAGATGGGAAATATGCGGGAAACATATTTATACGTTTTACGTTGACTGGTAGTAAGTAGAGCGCGGGACACGTATTAATACGTTTTTTTATAGACTAGCAGTAGAATGCGGGTAACGTATAAATACGTAAACTAAAGTTATCGTAATTTTACTGAACGTTGCCATTTGCGCAAAAAAATTAGCAAAAATGGCCCAAGCCACGCGCCACCTGTTAGCGAGCGATAAAAACTACCCGCGGGGAACCAAGATGGCGGCGTAGGGAGTGGACCTGTGCGTGCTGCTCTCTCACAGCATCATTGAAACTACCAACTATGAGGCAAACAACCACCACTCAGAACCATGGGGAAGTTGGCCCAGTGGGAGATCTACAACTGGAAGAAAAGAAGAAGCGCAATGAGACTGAGAGGGAGCTACGGAAGCGCCAAAAACAGAGGTACGCAGTCACACGCCAGGCGGGCTGCAAATGGATCCGCGGTTTTTTTCAATCGGAAGTGGTTACGAACCCTCGAATCCTCTGGGCTTGCTCGGGGCGGGTCTCTGAGGCACCAGATCCCACGGGGGGATTAAGAGATCAACCGAAGGACTTATATGCAGCGGTCGGAAAGCGAGGGAAGCTCTGACGCGCCGCTGCTCGCCGGCACTGAGGGACGCGAAGTCCTGGTGTCCCGGGGAGGCGAGGGGCGTGGAGACGCCGCCATGGCTATTTCCTCCGCCATGGCGTGCTGGCGACTCCCTGAGACCCCGCCCTACTCAATTTACATCCCCATCCGGGCTATGCCAGAGGCACAAGAGGGAATGACTGTGCTTTTACAAACTCTCAAATCCAATGAACTGGTTTGGGCAGGTCTCAGACCCCAGGCCCCACGGGGAGAGGGCACGGCCTTGCAGCCATCAGAAAGCAAGGGAGGCTCTGGCTCGCGGCTGCTCGCCAGAACTGGGGGACGCAAAGTCCCGGTGTCCTGGATAGGTGAGGGGCCGCTGAGACTCTGCCCCGGCGACTCCCTGAGATCCCGCCCTACTCAATTTACATTCCAATCTGGGCTGTGCCAGAGACACAAGAGGAAACGCCTGTGCTTCTGCAAACTCTCAAATCCACTGAGCTGGTTCAGGCGGGATCATGAGGCACCACCTGCGCTCTAGCAGCCTAACCCAACAAATTGCAGACTTCAACTGCTCGCAGCCATGGGAGACACACTCAAGTAACAGACCCAGGAGAACCAAAATGGCGGCATAAGGAAGAGACCTGTGCGTGCTGCCTCACACAACATCATCAAAACTACCAACTATAGGATAAACAGCTATCATATGGAACCATGGGAAAGTTGGCCCAGTGGAAGCTCTACAACTGGAAGGAAAGAACATTGAGACTGAGTAGGATGTGCAGAGACACCAAGTACAGAGCCCAACCCAGCAGGCTGCACATTTCAGCTCCTCGCATCCAGGAGGGACGCAATCGGGGGGCGGAGCCGGGTTCGGGGCAGGCCGGGGCTGGGCCCGGCTTGGGCGGCGTTGTGGAACCGCTGTACCAGCAGGCGCACAAACATGCCCACCGGTTCCAGTCTTGCGTGGGGTGCTGGGGGAAGGCAGACAGGCAGTCTGTGCACTTGGTGGAGGGCATGGTCCGAGCAGGAGTGCTGGATGTTCAGCCACCAGGAACGCCTGGAGATTTTGTCTGGCGGGGAGCCGCCCGGCAGGGGACAGAGGGCCAAAGTTCGTGTTTCCCCGGTGAGGCTGGGACGGCCCCGGTGAGGTCGGGACAGCCCCAGTGAG